AATATATTATTTTTGTATAATAGATTGAATAATTTTGGGTTTCCTCTTATCTTTATTAATTGGATAATGACTTACATTGCTGATGTTACCTTTTCTTTTAACATAAATAGGGAGTTATTGAGGTATTTCCCTTCCTTTCCAAATCTTAGGGAAAATTTTCACCTTTCTCCTTATCTTTTTACAATTATTATGGATACTTTTTCAATTTTCATTAATCACCATATAAATAAAAATTTCAATGATGTTAATATCACACATTTGATTTATGTTGTAATTTTCTTATTTTTTTGCTCTTATACAAATCATCTAGTGAGTATGTTTATTCAACAGTTTCATGGAAGAATACTCATTCTTAAAAATTTTGGAATTTCTCTCAAACTTGATATAGTAAACCATTACTTGCAATACTAAAAGATGGAATCTATTTTTGAATTATATAATAATTGTTACCCAAATGATAACAAAGTTGAAAAATATTGCTAGTTCGATAAAAAAAAATTTCCATTGGCAATGCTTTTATCAAGAAGTAAATAAGAGAAGAGACATTTAAAGAAAATATGGTTATGAGAATCCACACCATCAAGGCATAAAACACATGTATAATTAATATTAATGCCCCTAAAGGAAATAATGTCTCAAGTCTTTATAAATTTAGGAATAATCTTCCAAATGTGATAGAAAAACTTAATAAAATAGCATTTAATCCAAATAATTTTAAATTAATCCACACTAGGAAAAGAATCATATAAAGAGAAGTGAACAACCTTATGTGCATAAAAGTTCATATTGCTTCTCAACAAATAACACTGTTTGTAATGGAAATATTACAAATGTCATCAATATAAAAAACACATGCATTGTTATTCTGAGGAACTAACCAAATGTCATTAATAGTCACCTCATTAAGCTTAATATTTTTAGAAAGATTAAACAGTTAAAAATAATATCTTCAAAGTGCTACTTTAAAGACAAGTCATGAATCCAAGAATCATAAGAAAAGAATAATTGACTATTAATATTTACTTGAAAAAGATAAATAACTTCTAATCTTTCTAGCAATTTTACTAATATCTTTCAAAAAGAAGATGAGAGTTATTATAATTACCTATTATTGAGTCATAATGAGATGAACACTACCTGAAAAGATGGGACTTATGTAAAACTTTCAAATACTTTTAGATTTACACGTAACATTAATATTATCCCAAAAAGGGAGCGCAGGGTCACCATTATATCCTGGAAAACAAAATTTATTTCAAGCTATAGCATGCATCTCACTACTTTTTTTATTATGATGAGAAAAATTAGAAATCTTAAAATTAATCCTTCCTCTCATACCTTTAGGTAAAGTTGTTGACCAAAATCATAAATATAAATAACTTCAAATGGTAAATTTAATAAGCTGAAGTCTACCTATAGCAGAAAGAAACTTCAATTTCCAACTATCAATCCAGTTCTAGAGTTCAATCAAATTATAACAATCAGTCACCACCAATTTAGATGGTTTATTGGTAACTCCAAAATATTCCCAAGGTAATGATTTAACATTAAAGCTACAAAGATTAACAATATGATACTAAGTAGAGAGATCCACATACTTAGAATTAACAAAATTAGTTTTAGTAAGATTAACATAAAGATTAGTGTGAATACTAAAAACATTAAAAATATTGGAGATAATCAAGATATAGCCTTGCGAAGTGGAAATTTAAAACTTAAATTTCTGATTTGGTCAAGAGTTTTTATAATAAATAATTTAAAGCTATTTTGTGAGCTTTAATGTTTGCCTTCATCTTATTAAAATTCTACCGATTTGACTAGAATTTTTCCTTATTCATTTTTTGGCTTTATTTTTATTCCCTTAATTGAGTTTTCTATGGTTTTTATCATAGATGCTCAATAATTATGTAAGTCTCTCTCATCATCTATTCTTGATGGGTCTTTTTTCCAGTTTATTTGAATGGTGGTTCAAATTTTTTCTTAGATTTTTGTTGTTGTTAATTTCATGTCAGGTTGTCTCTTTTCATTCGTACTTGTTATGGGGTTCTATTATGGAACCTTTAATGGTTGTTTTTTAGTTTTGATGTTGAAAATGTATAGTTGCTTTCGGTTAGTTTTCTTATTTTTAAGTTCTCTGTTTTTTCTGTCTTTTACAAACTTTTTTGTTTAGATATCTTTCCTTTAAGAGCTGTATTGAAATTCTTTTCTTTCTTTCCTTATTTAATCAAAAGTTCATCTATTTTTTTATTTGGAGTTATGATGTTTGTCGAACTTCTTTTGAAACTCAACTGATTTAACTGGAATTACTTTATTTTATTTCTATTCTTTGGATGGACTTTTTCTATGTTTTTCTCATGAATGCGCAACAATTATAGAAATTGATGATTTTTTTTTTCAGTCTATTTGAGCGGTTTTTCAATTTTCTTTTTAAGATAAGTCTCTGTGCTCTTTTGGGATTTTTCTCTTTATTTTTTTTAAATCTCTTAGATTTTTTTGGTGAGCTACTCTCTACTCCTCTTATTGGTTGTTCGCCTCTTTTCATAGGTTTTTAACTTTTTGGTATATAGATTCCATATTAACAGGCCTTTTTTTCTTTCTTAGATTTTGTTGGGGTTCCCTTGTGGGATCTTTTATGGTTGTTCCTCACTTTTTGCTCAAGATAACTTTTTGCTTCAAGTTGTTCGTCTATTTTTAAGACTCAATTTTGATTAAATTCAAGCTTCTACCCGATTGTTGGCTTTTATGTTGTTGATGGAATCATATTTATATGTATCATCTCATCTCACTTCTTCCTATGAGGTTCTTTTGCGGAATCTCTGATGGTTACTTTTTGCAACTTTGTTGAAGATGAATTGAATCATTTAAAGGCCATTCTCTTGTTGTTTCACCTGTACGTTGCATTTAGTGAGGGTTCTAGATGTTCTCCTCTTGTTTAAGTTTGGTGGTTGTTATTTTTTTTTTGTAATGTTTTTTTCAAATGTTACTAACATTTATCTTGTCTAATATTCATATGCTTCCCCATTATAGCAATTTCTATATCATCTTTTCTGGTGATTTTTTTTAGTCTATATGAACGGTTTTTCAATTTTCTTTTTTAGATGTCCCTAAGCCCTTTTTTTAGTGTTTTATTTTTATTTTTTATCTTTTAGATTTATTTTAGGAAATCCTCGCTTCTCCTGTTATTGGTTGTTGGCTTCTTTTCATAGGTTTTTAGCTTTTTGCTATTTTGAATCCACATTAGGATGTCTCTTTTTATTTCTTAAATTTTGTTGAGGTTCTCTTGTACAATCCTTTTGTTGAGGTTCTCTTGTTTGCTTTTATGTTGTTGATAGAATCATATTTAGATGCCTCATCTCATTTCACTTCTTGTGAGGTTCATTTGTGAAATCTCTACTGACTAGGTTTTGCAACAATGTTGAAAATGATTTGAATCTTTTAAAGGCATTTCTCTTGTTATTTCACATGCTTTTACTAATGATTCCAAATGTTCTCCCTTTCTTATAGTGGTGATTTTTTTTTTTCAATGTTTAGTTTCAATGTTATTTTCTATTACCCCACAAAAAAAAATGTAGTCATAATTTTTAAATTATTAATAAGCTCGTTCACATATTTTAAACAAGTGAAGGAGCTTCACTCACTTTTGAAATATTTAAATCCCAAGAAAAATAGTCCCATTTCAAAATAGTGCCAAAAAATATAACCACCCAAAATATTAGAATGAAAATTTTAAATATTTGTAAGAACAACATTAAAATTAAAATTAAAAAAAATCATTAATATACTTTTTTTAATTAATATTTAGCCCTTATATATTTCATTATCTACATCACAAATCTTTCATATTTACACTTATGACAAATTTGCAAATTTTATATAGATTTAAAATTTTATTTTACATTTAATCTTTTATAATTTTTATATAACAACCATCCAAAAACAATGAATATAATATTTTAACTACACAAAATTTAAATAAAATATTTAAAATACTTTTTTAATTACAACCACCCTTCTTTACCCACAAGTGAACATTTGAATGAAAATTTTAAGAGATTAAAATGCTATACTTCAAATTTTAAAATGTTATATTAAAAATTTAGGTGAATAAAATATTAAATTCAATATTTTAAATGATTGTTAAGTAAAAACCTCATTATTTTTTTATAATTTATTTCATGTTTAATTGCTAAGGAGAAATAGTTAAAATTAATAGTAATACTTCTCTAACATTGGATTATATTTGAATGAGTTTATATGCCAAAATTAGCAAGAACAATTAGAAGCAATAGGTATATATTTAAGAAAGATTTACACAAAGCACTAAATTCCTATATATTTACATTTTTAGAAACTAAACTTCAATTTTTGCAAATTTGCCACCTTAGAAACACATGAAAAACTCGTAGTCCAGATTTTAAAAGTTAAAATATGATATTTTTAACGTTATAAGAAAATTTTGTATGGTATAAATATATAAAAATAAAGCTAAAGTGTTTAGATATGTGAATACACAATCTTTGGGTGATATGTATGTAAATGAAAAAATATTACACCAGAACTCCTAACGTAGAGCTATATTCAGAGCCTGCATATATATGTGACTTCAAGAAAACGCGCGCGCTTTCGTTTGATCCGGCCCGGTAACACAGGATAATATTCTTTCTGTGTTATTCCACATTATTCAGGTGTTATTGTGATGGTATTGATGTGTTATTGTGTTATGATAACACTGAGAATATTCCCAAAACACAATAACACATGAATACCGTCACAATAACACCTAAATAATGTGGATTAACACAGGAGGTATATTCTTCTGCGCTAAAATATTTTTTTTTTATTTTTCTATCACCTCCACGTGTATGCATATCAGCGGACTCTGAACGTAGCTCTAAGTTAAAGGAGTCTGATGTGATATTTTTCCGTATGTAAATGCCCTTACATTTAATTATGCTCAAGTAGGTTTCCTTTTCCGGTACTAACCTTAAATCGGCGATGACTTTAGCTTCCTAACCTACCAAACAATATTATACCAAAAACCTGTAAATGTATTTACAAAGCTCCCCTTCATCAAAGTTAGCTCCAACATAACATATAATTTTTTTTTAAGAAAAAAATTCAATTACTTCTGGATCTTCTCACATATCTTACCAATCTTTTATGATAAACATACAGCCATAGAGTTCCTCCATAGTTACAAAATAAACGGCATTATTGCAGCGGTATCTCGCGTCAGATCCCAAGCTGCAGCACAGGCCTAAAGAAACAAATGAAAGCTATTAATGTTTTAAGAAGAACGGAAGATTTTCATGCATACGACGCAGTTCCTGTGCATTTACATATCTAACACTAATTTTTTACATATATACCACCTTACTTATGCTTGAAAAGATGTATTTCACTTTTTAAAAGTTACAGTAGTGATATTTTGGATTTGATATGGAAAAATTTGGGTGGCATAAATGTAAAAAATAAAGTTTAGGTGTTAATTAAGGGTTTGTTTGGGGCAGTTGCAGCTAATTAAGAAACTGTTGTGAAGCTACTGAAGAATAATCTGATGTTGTAAAAAACTGCGATGACCACTACAATTTTTTTTTAAAAAAAAAAAGTGAGACTACAACTAGAAAGCTTCCGCCGCACCTAGCCAAGAGCGGTGGGAAAACGCTGGATTCAGCGGCAACTTTTACAAAAAGCTGCCAAAATACATTTTACTCAAACAGCTAGAGCAGCGGTGTGGCACCGCACAACCGCCCAGCCGCCGCCGCACCGCTGTCCCAAACGGAGCCTAAGTGGTATGTATGCAAATGCCCCAAGAAAATAAGAGCCAAAATATTGAAGATGAGAGGGATTTCTGAACCTTTTTTTGGGTATCAGAATGTGGAAGTGCCGATGGAGGTCGACCGTCCGGAAGCTTGTAGCTCCTTGAGTGTACTTGCCAACCAGTCCAAACCTTCATACAAGCCATCGCCTTTAAGAGCACAGGTGCCTTGAATATGCCATATTCGGTTCTTAAGGTCATAAAGACCAAGCCCCTCGCAGACCTCCATTGGTGTCATTGCTCCTTTCTGAAGAGAATAAAAACCAGAGTTTTCAGCATATAAGATACATAAATTATGAAAGTTTAGGTGTTATTATGTAAATATATGTGAATTGTGCAATATGTATGCATTTATCATGAAGAAACTGATTTAATCAGACACTTCAATAGGTTATGGCAGCATTGTAAGCATATTGCAAACAGGGTAAAGAAGATTAAATATTTCTTAAAATGAAAACTTTTTTCTCCAAAGCCAGTTATAAAACCAGTTGGCATTCAATTTGACCGAAACAGATCAGCCAAAAAATAACAAATAAAAACAGCACTTGGATGAAGTATTAAATATGTGCTAAGGCATTGAAGGAAAGGATCAGCATAACTTACCATGTCCTGCTTGTTAGCAAATACTAGTATGACGCTATTGAGCATGAAGGGATCATTGATGATCGCCTGATAACAAAAGATTTGGTAGTATATCAGTGCAGGAAAAAATATTAGAGAATTTTACATACACACAATTCTTATGTATTTACACATCTAACACCAAACATTCATATTTAAATTTATAACACTTTGGTGTCATATATAAACCTATACATGAAAAAGTGAATTTCACTTTTAAAAAGTAGGAGATAATAGTATTTTTATGTGGCATTAAGACTTGAGTGCTATGTAAATATTAAAGTTTGGTTAGATATGTCACTACAAAAGAATTGCGTGTTGTGTATGTAAAAGCCCCAAAATACTGTAGGGCAAATAAAGTGAAAATTATGCCTACACACCTCCAACAAGTGAACAAACAACTAACTGAAACAAACCTGAAACTCTGCTTTTGCTTTTCCAATTCTTTCTCTGTCCAAGGAATCAACAACATAGATCTGCAGTCAAGAAAAAAAAATTACTTCCAAGTTCTGTCAATTCATAAACAGGTAATCTGAAGTCTCAAAACTTAACAGCAGATGCAACGGCCTTTTCTTAGGGGCATTAGGTGTTGATATGACTTATATTCAAGTCAATAGAGATATGTATACTACAGTTGTTACTTGTGTTCAGACAGAACGAGGATTGACCAAGTATTTTCCTATTTCTGTTGAATTACATCATGAATTGGCTTTAAGCTTATATCTTTTTACTTAGTTATGAATGCTCTTACTGGACATTTAGAGGATGTACCTTGGAGTATGCTTTTCGCTAATGATATCCTTCTTATGGATAAGACTACAGAAAGAGTTTAGGAAAAACTTAAATTATAGAGGTCTACATTGAAGTTTAAAGGCCTTCGTTTGAGTAGCTCTAAAACTAATACATGGAATGTAATTTTAGTAGCGGTAGCTCTAGTGGTAGGTTATAACTATGGATGATCAAATCATTATAGGGTGTGAAAGTTTTAGATATCTCGGGTCTATTGTTCAAAGTGATGGTGATATAGATGGGGTTGTTATTAGTAGAATTCAAGTTGATTGTTTGAAGTGGTGGTATGCATCGGGCATACTGTGATAGAAAAGTACTGGTTAGATTTCAAAAAAAATTTTATAAGATGGTAGTGAAACCTGCAATGCTTTATGGCGCAAAATAATGACCTTTAAAAAGAGAGCATAAAACAAAGTTAAGTGTTGCTGAGATGAGAATGTTTAGGTGAATGAATGGCTTCGCACTTAAGAGTGTTTGCAAGGTTGTTTTGACTACTTTTCGGTTTGAAAAACACTTCAACACCCATTTGCGGGGCACTTTTCGTGTGCTTTTCGGCGACATGCGGCTTCAGAATTACGAAATAGGGAACACTCAGGCCTCCGGTTGCAGTTATTACTCTGTTTCATGTACGAAAGTACCAATGTACCCCTCTACAATTCGGGAAATGACTCAAAGAGTCCCCAATAATACCCTTCTTCGGCCCTGTCTCCCTCCATTCATTCTTGTTGTGGCTTTAAGGCATAATCCCTTCTCCCCTCCGTTCATATTCACAGTTGCCTCTCTTCGCTTCTCTTCAAACATATATTCTTCTCCTTCCTTTCTCGACTGTCCTCTATGGTGGTGGTTAGAATTTTTCCATTTTACCTTATTTTCCTTGTTGAGCTTCTCAATTTATCTGGTCATGGTTTGATGCTTTAGTGCTTGAGATGGTATGTGGCTTTCCCTGTTGAGCTTCTCGATTTATCTGTTGATGGTTTGGTGTTTTAGTGCTTGAGGTGGTATACGGTTTTCCCAGTTAATGTTTTCGGTTTAACTAATTATTTTTCCTATTGATTTTTTAGTTTTCCTGTTTGTATGTGGTTTGGTGGTTGGAGTGGTGTCGATAGAGCTTCCCAATTGTCCTCTGTGGTGAAGGTATGTTGCTTTTCAATTTTTTTAATTCTCCTGCAATTATTTTGAAAATTGCAGTCATTCAGATGAATTACATATATATGAGCAGAACAATCTTTTTCATCAATAACACCTGCAGCACATCAGGTTATCCAAATAAACCACTTCTATTCCAACAACTGCTTTTTAACAACACCTGTGAAAGCAGCTTCACAGCGGCTTCTTCAAAAAAGCAGCAGCCACCCCAAATGTACCCTTAAAAACAAAATGTGAAACGAATCTATCCGCGAAAGAGTTGGTGTAGCTCCAGTGGCAGACAAGATTAGAGAGAGTCGTCTCAGATGGTTTGGTCACAAATATCATCAACCATCTGATGATATTGTCTACACTAGAGCTATGTTTTGGATTGGACTTATGTTAAGAAAGGCGGAGGTAAACTTAAAAAGACTTGGGTCTATTGTATAAAAAATGATCTTAATTTATTAAAATCAAATGAAAATATGACACTCAATAGGACACAAGGTAGAAAAAGAATTCATGCAGCCAACCCCACCTAGTGGGACAAAGGTTTGCAGCTGTTGTTGTATTTACATAAATACCACTCAATTTCTATGCATTTACAAATTTTACATTTTTATATTTATACCACTCAAATCTTTCATAGCACATAAAAAATACCACCATTTTAACTTTTAAAAAGTGAAATACAATACATACGCAAGGTAGCATGCATGTAAAAATCGAAGTTTAGTGTTAGATATGTAAATACATAGGAATTGACTGGTATGTATGTAAACCTTCCTTTTTTTTAATACAATGTTTGGCTCACAACTATCAATGCTTTTCCGACAATCTATGGTTCAGAGAAAGGAATCGAGACCCTCCTCCCTTCTTTATGACCAGATTTACGGAAGCCAAGTTTTGTGGTTTATAATTATTTTTGTCAAAAATGCCCACATTGCATCAACAGAATTATCAAGGGATATAAAACAATGCAATGCTTTTGCTGTCGTTTCCTTCCTTTGTGAGTCAGCTGCAGTGGGAAAAGGAGAATTTTGCCAACGGTTTGCTTCTTATTTCTTATACCACTTTGAGCATTCCTCACTAGATTCTGGATTTTGGTTTCCTGATTTGCTTCTCATCCCACATCTATCAAGTTCTTCCATCCAATTCTTATGTATTTACATATCTCGCACCTAAACTTTGCTCATTGTATTTATACCACCCAAATCTGTAATATCACATCAAAATTTTACTTATTTAACTTCTAAAAAGTAATACACATTTTTTATGCATAAAAAGGGTGGCATATATGTAAAAATTGAAATTTGGGTGTTAGAAATGTAGATACATGGGATTTGAGTGGTATCTATGTAAATCTTCCTTTTTTATTTTTTTTTGGCACATCCAAGGAATATAATATGTTAAAGCAGCATAACCTCTTCCAGTCTCGCAAGATGTAAACTTTCACGCAACAACAACGAATGCAAAAAGATAAAAAAAAGGCCTGCATTGTTGTATGAATTGCTTGTCCTGGACAATATAAAGTGGAATTGTTCTATGAATTTCTGGCATGGTTTCCTGCACCCAGACACTGTAGCGATGAAATGAATGAGATGTTGTGAGATTTTGCATAAATAATTCACGAAAAACACCATTTGTTGATTGCATTCAACAGCATTTTCATTCATGAACACTTAGTACCTGTTTGGGATCACTTTCTTTTGTATACATGTTTAGTGAAATTTTTTTCATGTTTTTAATTTTTGTCCTTAAAAAGAAATTAATATATATACAATCAAGTTTGAATGAATTAACATTTACCCTTTCAACAGAAAGGAGATGTAAGAAAAAGAGCGAGAGATAAAGAAGTCGAGAGATGAAGCAAGAGAAGTAGAGAAGGAGCTCCAAAGAGTCAAAGCGAGTGAATATAAAACAAACTAACAAGAGCGATATAAAGAGAGAGAGATCGAGTGTGTGACATGAAGAGCAAGAGTGCAAGAAGTAGGTGATTTAGTGAAGGGAAGAGAACAAGAGTAACGATCATCAAGGCAAGTTCGCATAGAGCAAGTAGTTGTATCCAAGGTTTCATGTGATGGTACAGATTTTGAGCATAAAGGCAGTTTAAGGTAATAAAGTAAAGAAATTCCTCCTTGCTCTAAATATGAAAACAGAAAAAACCGACCAAAGAATTTTTAATGCTTTAAATTTATAAGCCCAAGATTTAGGGTATAAATGTAAAACTTTTTTGTTAGGCTTTTTAAGTGTAGAAGAAGAGCAACTTAAGAGGTGGTAGTAATCGATTGTATAAAAGGAAGAAATAGGGGAAATATCTGAGGTATGCATTTAAATCAAAATAAGTCATAATTTATTTTGAGATGATGAAAACTGAATTTTTTTAGTTAAATAAAGAATATATGGTGTCGGCGGGCTGCTCTGCTAGATTTCGCCCGATGGCGAAACCCTATGCTAATGGCTTCGTCGTGCTCGACGACGAACAGTTCGCACATCCCACTGCTCCGACTGCTCCTGTTTTCATTGTTTCATCTTCCGCTGGCTCCTTCGTGCTCGCTCTTCTTCTTCCTCGGGCCGTAGTTTGTCGCAGCGTCTTCTCATTCGCGTCTTCGTTCCCACCGACGCAGATACGTTCCCACTTGGAATTTCTCTCGCAGTAGCCTTGCGCGAGATTTTCTTGCACAGTGTCGCGACTTCCTGTGCTGTCTCCGTTCGATTGCTCTGCGGATTAAGTAGCAAGGAGTTAGACCCACTGTTCGACTCTGAGCTCAATGGCTCCTGTTCCTTCTCAACCACCGACTACTTCAATGAAGGCTTCTTTTGTTGATATGGTTGGTTGTATGGGATCAGATTAGGTTTTCCCTCAGTTTTACCACGAATCATTCGAAGGCCAGGACTGCAACCTTATCAAGAAGACGGGTAGGAAGAGTGGTAAACTAGTTATATTCTTCTCTGATGTTGAAGTTTCCAACCTGGTTAATAAGTTCAAATTCACCCTCATTGGGAAGTTTCAATTGTGACATCCCAAAATGGAAATCGTTTAAAATGCTTTTGAAGATCTCAAACTATTGGGACTCTAGAAGGTTGGTCTTTTTGATGGAAGACATGTCATGATACAATTATCTAAAGTGGAAGACAATGCCAAAATATTTTCCAAAAAGTTTATGACAATAGAGGGAAAATATATGAAACTGCTTGAGTGGTCTCCTGAATTTGACCCTAATCAAGAATCACCTATAGTTTCAATCTGGTTTAAACAACCTTGCTTAAAGTTGCACTACTTCAACCACCAAGTCCTCTACTTTATTGGAGCTGCACTAGGGAGACCTATGAAATTGGACCTCTACTTTGTTGGAGCTGCACTAGGGAGACCTATGAAATTGGATACACCGACCTTCAATCTAACCAGGCCTTCGGTTTCAAGAATTCTTGTTGAAAGGGATATCACCCTCCTTGATGTGGACGAAATATGGCTTGGTACTGCCCACAATGGGTATTGGCAGCCAATTATTACTGAGCAAAGACCATACTACTGCAATCACTGAACTGTCAAATGCTTCAG